AGCCTCCCAAGTAGCTGGGACCACAGGCGCCTGCCACTACACCTGGCTATTTTTTGGTTGCAGCCATCATTGTTGTTTGGCGGGCCCGGGCTGGATTTGAACCCGCCACCTTAGGTGTATGTGGCTGGCACCTTAGCCACTTGAGCCACAGGCACTGAGCCCCCAGCTATTTTTTGTTGCAGTTGCCACTGCTGTTTTAGCTGGTCAGGGCTGGGTTCAAACCTGCCACCCTGGGTATATGGGGCCAGCTCCCTACCCACTGAGACACAGGTGCAGCCCTTTTTTGTTTTTTTAAAGAGACAGGGCCTGATCATAGCTCACCGTATGTCAAACTCGTGGGCTCAAGCAGTTCTCTTGATTCCCCTTCCCAAGTAGCTGGGACTACAAATGCATGCCACCACACATGGCTAATTTTTCTATTTTTTGTAGAGTCAGGGTGTTGCTCTGGCTTGAGTTGGTCTCGAACTAGTGACCTCGCATGATCCTCCTGCCTCAGTCACATAGTGCACTAGGATTACAGGCCACTGCAGCTGGCCACGAATTCTGTTTTTAATTTTTTGTTATGTTCTTTATTCAGAATGAGGGTATTTTCGGTATTTGCATCTAGGAAGTGAGGTGTCCTTTGGACCAGGAGTGTAGGGTAGACTGGAGTGGGAGAAGATCTATTGATTCTCTTTTGCTTACAGAAAAGAAAAAAATCTAACCTCCTTAGCTTGGTACACAGGGTCTTCCTGATCTGGCTCCAGCCCATCTTCTTTCCTTTCCTTCCTTAGTCAGGATAGGCCCTTTCAGTGACTCCAGCCCTTGTCTGTGCTGCCTTCTCTACTTGGAATGATTTCTATGGCTCCTTACTTGGTATGTTCTTGACGATACAAAGAACCTTTGTATACCTTTATACCTTTTATACCTTTCTGTGTTTTTTGTTTCAGTGACTCCAGCCCTTGTCTGTGCTGCTTTCTCTACTTGGAATGATTTCTGTGGCTCCTTACTTTGTATGTTCTTTGACGATACAAAGAACCTTTGTATACCTTTACAAGGTATACCTTTTATACCTTTCTGTGTTTTTTGCCAGTAAGGGACTGACCCAACTTCACTTCCCAATTCAGACAAGTGTTCATTTCTGGTAATGTTCTTACTCCTGGCTTCTGTGTTTAACCCTGATTTTTAATTGACTCATTCTACTTTCTGTGTTGTTCTAGTACATGTGTTTGAAAATCTTTTTTGGCTGAGTGTAGTGGCTCACTCCTATAATCCTAACTTTCTGGGAGGCCGAGGTGGGTAGATGCCTGAGCTCAGGAGTTTAAGACTGGCCTGAGCAAAAGCAAGACCCTGTCTCTACTAAAAATAGAAAAATTAGCCAGGCATGGTAGTGCACACCTGTCTTAGCTATTTAGGAGGCTGAGGCAGGAGGATCACTTGAGCCCAGGAGTTTGAGGTTGCAGTGAGCTATGATGATGCCACTGCACTCTAGTTGGGGTGACAGATTTAGAGACTCTTGTCTCAAAAAACAAAAAAAGCCTTTCATGTCTTTTTGGGTATGTAACAGGATATACAAACATGCTTCTGGCTCACAACTTAGTTCAGATTTCACTCCCTCACCCCAAGTTAACTATTCCATCCTCTACTAGCTATTTAGTGATATTTCTGAGCAAGCACTTAACACAGCATAATTTTTCAGTTTACATATGTATCTTCCTCCATGGTCTCCTCCAGGGCGGGCACCATGTTGCATTCGTCTTTGTACCCTCAGCATCTAGCAGTGTTGGCATGTAGTAGGCACTCAAGAATGTGTGTTGAATGAACAATGCCTGTGACAAGCAGCTGGACTTTATTCTTTCCTGACCCTTGCTCCTATGACACATCTCCTCCTGACTGCCACTGTCACCCCTTCAGAGCAGAACTTCTCTAGTGAACTCAAGGGAAACAGGTGAGGCTCAGAGAGGTGGAGGCAGAGGGAAGGGGAGCTTTGGAACGTTGGGGTTTGGGGACTGGTGTCCAGGGGCAGTAGTGGGGCAGGGCTGGATGAAGGTGTTGCCTTGGGTGGCTGCAAAGTGATAAGGGATTGGGGCTGGTTTCTTTGCAGCTATGGCTAAGGACATCCTGGGTGAAGCAGGGCTGCATTTTGATGAGCTGAATAAGCTTCGGGTGTTGGATCCAGAGGTTACCCAGCAGACCATAGAGCTCAAGGAAGAGTGCAAGGACTTTGTGGACAGTGAGTATCACTCAGGCAGCCACTGTTTAAGCTGTACCCCGCCATCACTGCAACTGCCGGAATGGAGCTGCTGGGTCCCTGCAGGTTGAACCTGGTCTCTATGAATCCCTTCTATGTGCCACCCACTTTGTGGGCCTGACCCTTATTATATTGTCACTTAGTCCTACACAGAGTCAAACCAAACACTGGGATTTGGGGGTAGTGGTGGTGTTTTTACATATGCCATCTTTGATTTTTTCCATGAGAAATCTTAAACTTCACAGGCGTAGAACCATGGCTTGGAGGTAGGAAGTAGAATTATGAGAAATAGTCTTCTCAGTGATAGGTTCTCCATTTGGAGTTAGAGGTGATAACTGAAGTTTCTACAGGCAGTTCAAAAGACTTAATGAAGTCATCTATTGCTTGAAATCTCTAAGAAGCCTTCTACCTCAGTAGCCAAGCCAGTGCCAGTGGGTACAAAGCCAGATCTAGTCAGATCAAGGGATTTCTGAGCCTTCTGGGGCCTCTCTAGGCTGTGGAGAGAGCTTGACTGGTAAAAAGTATCGAGGGTTCTGTCACTAGTCTTCTGTGATTGCTGTGTACATGCTGTGCCACCTCTCTGGCCTTAGTCTCCCTTCAGTAAAATGGGGTTCTATCACATTGAGGACGCTGAAAAAAGTGAATGGGAGATTAAGCACTTAAATTCTGTGAGCTCTTTATTCATTGTGGTTACTGATGGAGAGTCCCCACCTCCATCATTAAGTGAAATCTGTGTTAAATCTGTGGCTAGTCCAGCAGCCACACTCATGCCCTGGGTGGTCCTTTTGTGAACAGCTGCTCTTCCTCTCACTCCTGGGCCCATCCTGAAGATGGACCTACTAAGGGCCTGGTGCCTTCATACCCTGAAGTAACAGCAGTTGGCTAACTCAATGGGGATGCAAGGCCCAGGTGTGCCTTGTTCCAGCTGGGCACTCTACTCTAAGTTCAGACAGAGGATGGGAGACTTAGGCCAGCAAGTACCAAACTGTGTTTTGTCTTGGTTCTTTTGGTGATAAGGTCTTGCTCTGTTGCCCAGGCTGGAATGTAGTGGTGTCATCACAGCTCATTGCAGCCTGAAACTTCTGGGCTCAAGCAATCCTCTTGCCTCAGGTGTCTCAGTACCTGGGACCACAGATGCCACAGATGCTCTGTCTTGACACCAAACTGTTTCTTCTTTTTCTTTTCTGTTTTTTGAGACAGCATCTCAAGCTGTTGCCCTGGGTAGAGTGCCATGGTGTCATCTAACTCACAGCAACCTTCCTACTCTTGGGCTCAAGCAACCCTCTTGCCTCAGTTTTTCTAGTTTTTAGTAGAGATGATGTCTTGCTCTTGCTCAGGCTGGTTTTGAACTCGTGAGCTCAAGCAGTCCACCTGCCTTGGCCTCTCAGAGTGCTAGGTGTGAGCCACTGCACCCGGCCTGTTGTTCCCTTGGTAGTGTGCGGTGATGTCACAGCTCATAGCAGCCTCAAACTTTTGGGCTTAAGCAATCCTCTTGTCTTAGCTTCCCAAGTAGCTGGGACTACAGGCACCTGCCACAATGCCCTACTAGTTTTTCTGTTATCAGGAGAGATGGGGTCTTGTTCTTGCTCAGGCTGGTCTCAAAATCATGGGTTCAAGCAATGCACCCTCCTTTGTCTCCCAGAGTGCTAAGATTACAGGTGTGAGCCATCGTGCCTGGCCTTACCCAACTGTTTTGACACAAATTAGAAGGGGGCAGTTTGCTCTGCATTCTCATTTCCTTAGGGAGTGCTGATGCTGAGAAAATAAAACATCTCATTTTTTTCTCCCTAAAAGAAATTGGCCAGTTTCAGAAAATAGTCGGTGGTTTAATTGAGCTTGTTGACCAACTTGCAAAAGCAGCAGAAAACGAGAAGATGAAGGTAAGAGCAGCATGCCCTCTGTATTTTAGCCTGAGACTCTGGTTCACTGGCCTCTCTCATCTTTCTGTCCTCTTGATTTGTTTTGTGAGGTGGGTGGGTATCTGGGTTCTTTTATTTAGTTAAAACGAGATTTTAATAACTTTTAGCATAGTTTAATCTATTGAAATTATATGCCAGTATACTTTGTCATTATTTCATTTTCACATCAGCACTGAGATAGATGGTTTTATCCTTGTCTTATAAATGAAGAATTGAAGGTTTGCATAGAATAGATGACTTGGTGAAGAGCACAAAGCAAATGGTACCACCAGATGAGTCACTTGAGTACCTGTGTGCCTAGCTCTGGGAATACTCCAGACTCGTTGTCATACTCCTATCAGGCACTTTGGGATCAGTAGATAAATCTTACTCTCAAAGCTTTGGGGCTCCACATTCTTTTCTGCTCTGTGCACCGATCTAGCTCCCAAACAGCACCTCCCTACTTTGAAGACTTAATGTGTGGATGTTTTTAATGAAGCCTTGACCTCCTTTGGCCATCCTGTTTCCTAGGCCATCGGTGCTAGGAACCTGCTCAAATCTATAGCAAAGCAGAGAGAAGCCCAACAACAGCAACTTCAAGCACTCATAGCAGAAAAGAAGATGCAGCTAGAAAGGTAAGAAGTCTTGATGAAAACCAAGTTCTTTACTCAACTGAAATTCTACTTTTCCTTCTAAAATGATCACTTCTCATTCTTATTCGTTTTCCCAGGATTAGCATCTCACTTGTCATCCTGAAGATTTTTAAAATAAAAGTACATTTGAAGGAAAGGAAGTAGAAAATCTCTTCCTTTTAAATGTTCCTTCCTTCAACCAACCTAATAGTAGCTTAAGCATGAAAGCTGAGGTAGCGAGGGTCCACAAGGTGGCTGGCTCTTTGAAAGACAACTTTCCGAGGGCTGGAGATTTCTAATGGGTGCCCTGGGTAGGGCTTTGCCTTTCACAATCTTCTCTTTTCTTCATTCTGAACTCACACCATTTCTTGAAATCATTTAAATCTCTATTTTCTTCTCTAGAATTAAGACTCTGGTTTATTTCATCTTTTTCAGGGCTTCTAACAATTTTGTTTTTCAGGTATCGGGTTGAATATGAAGCTTTGTGTAAAGTAGAAGCAGAACAAAATGAATTTATTGACCAATTTATTTTTCAGAAATGAACTGAAAATTTCACTTTTATAGTAGGAAGGCAAAAAAGGCCCAAACCAAAAAACCTCTACTATTCCAGCGACTTGACTAACAATCTAAGTACGTCAGTGTGTGAGGAGCGCAGCCCTCTGAAGGCAGCACTGCAAGGCGGGGGGCTCACTGTAAGCCTCAGTGCACAGCTGCCACCTGTGGCCACATAGTAGGGTCTTCTTGCATTCTTAGTCTGAACTGAACAGTTTGTAAGCTTTGATCCTTTTTTGTAAACAAAGCTTTGGAAGAAAAAGCAATAAACTTTTCCAAATGGTTCTACCTTTTCTCCTTTTATCTTTCAAGTGTGTTTAACCCCTTGTGAAAGAACCCTGAATTCTTTACCCTCCTGTCCACAAAGGAAACCAGGCAGTGGTCAGCAGCTTTTATTTAGACCAGACACACACAAGTCAGACGGTATCACCAACAATCAGACCAATACAGCCTGTGAGCAAATTGGGCAAAAGCAGGGAACTGACTGGGACCTGTCGTCTGCCATCTTTTGTGTTGGCCTTGAGTACAGATTTAAATAAAGCTAATGGAATACAAAGCACTAATGTGAAGATATACATACAGGGGGTACATCATGCCCAGCTGTCACCCCACCTTCTTTCTCCTGAGAACAAGATGAATAGTCAGATGAAGTTATCCAGTAAGGATCAGGTTTGAGATGTCAGACTTCAGAGCAAAGGACCTGTGTCAGTTGGTCTCTAAAAATAAAAGACTTAAGATTTGGATACAGGATGACTTAAAAAAAAAAATCTCTTCTGGGTTGATCTGTTTTAAGACAGGAAAAAATACTTTCTGGTTTAACCATTTTCAACTGGGTTCATGCTGGGACTGAACCTTCAGGAAAACAGTTTAAAACTTTTTTTGCATAGTTTTTCCCCCCACAGGGGTAGAGGTGGGGCTAAGAAAACATGATAGAATTTTTAATGAACATTAAAGTGATATAACTTCAAATTTTAAAATGGCCTCAACCATCCCACTGTTCATTTTGCTGATTGGTGATATGCTACAGAGAATCGTGATTCTAAGGGGTTAGCCAAAAATGTTAAGGGTCAAATGACTCAAGAGCTTGTCAAGTAGGCCAGTTTCTGGCCTGGCCCTGGTTTTAGCAGTCCTGCAGTGGAACTGAGGCACATAGTGAGGTATCTGGCACCACTTCCCTAAAACCTAGCCCACACCTTCTGCCCACCTCCAGCTGATCAGTCTTTTCATCCCAGTGCCCTTGAGGGGTAAGGGTTTGATGTGGCTTCTGCCACCGTCTTGCTCTTGTGTACTGCTGCCTGTATGTTTCAAATGCTGCTGAAGACATGGATTTGGAGCAGGTTTCCTTGTACTGAGTCCAGCAGGCACCTGCCCATGGGTTTCTCTTCCCTGGGCCAGTGGTTGTTTTCTTCATTTCTTTTTTCTTTTTTCAAACTTGTAGTAGGGGCTCCGCAACATGAAAAGCAGAAGTATGAAAGGGATGAGTAAGTAAGGGACATAGACAGTCACAAGGGTCAATCGTTCATGCAAAGTCTCAGGTCCTTTGAAACCACTGGCTTTGGAGAAATTCTCAAATAAAAGGGTGAAGAGAATCGGAACTAAAGTTGTCATGGTGTGAACAGAGTAGATGATTGCAGGGGTTCGGATCCACTTGCAGCTTCCTAAAGAAGTTAGAGGAAAACAGAAAGGTAAAGGTTAGAGGTCTGCTCGTGACTCAAAGGATGTCCATGACATTGTCTACCCTGTCTCTGCTTGCCCTCTCCCCTTAGTCAAATCATTCTGCCCCCTTCAGCAAGTGGAACCTCAGGATAAATGGAAAATTAGAATCTACACTGCTCAACGTGCAAACTTAGGTGATAGCTGGGACCCCAGCTAACTGACTGCCAAAGAACCTAAGGTAGGGGCTGGATTATAACTTAGAAAAACTCAAGGGCAGCAAAACTGCCATTACCAGTTAGACCTGTTTGGCCCAACATGCAAGGGGAGGGCAAATCCCTGCCCCATACCATCTGTTTGTGAAGTAATTACATAATGATGAAAAGATCAAGTGGCAGATCCAGGGACTCTGGGAAACTCCAGTGGGAAATAAGCATTTTCAGCTGTGCTAAGTTAGGTTCCAAGTCTATGGCCACCTTCTTTTTAAGCATTAATTATATGAGAAGACTAAAAGATAATTTATAAATGGGAAGTTAAGCCCTTTAGGGATTAGCTGGATGGTACTGCTTATAAGTCAGTATATTATCCAAGCAGAAAAATAAAAGCCAATGATAAATTAATTCTAGGGGAGAAAAATAAAAAGGGAATAAAGACATCCTTAAAGTGGCCTCACATTTCATTTCATGGTATAAGAGAGATTTCCAGATAACTGAGCAGCCATGCAGCTCAGCTAACAACAGACTGTCCTAGCCACATTTCAGATCCTAGGGCACCCTCATACAAACTGTAGGACCACTCCCCTCTCCTTTGGAAATAATGTCCCAAAAGATTTCTAGGTCCTGATTTCTGAGCAAAAATACGATCTTCCCACCATTTACCAACCTTTAAAGAAGGCATATGTTGCAATGGGAAAGAAAGGCAGCTGAAATAAGAGCTCGCAGAACAAGAAAGACTTAAACCACACAGGGGGAGCCTGCAGCAGAGGATCTTTGAATTCCTTGGCATACCACTTCAGGAGGTTTCTCAGCTGAAAACAGAAAATGATGGTGATGAATCACAGTCACCTGGCCTGGACAGGCTCAGCTCCAACTCATCTGAAGATATACTGGACGAGTCTGTCATTAATTAGCCCCCTTGGCAGATGACACACCCAGCTTGCTAGAAATGGTCATTTAGTAAAAACTTAGCCCTAACTCAAATGCTACCTTCTCTGAAGTTCTCCTGAACTCTCCTTGGTGCTACTCAGCATTTGTTCAGAGCTTCATGATAGCACATACCCAGATGTGTTGCCCACTGCCAAAACCAACAATACCTAGCACTAGTAGGCTCTCAGGATGTTCACTAAATGAACAAACATCTCTGCCAACAGCATCTTTTTTTTTTAAGAGACAGAGTTTCACTTTCTCCTGGGCTTAGGCGATTCTTCTGCTTCAGCCTCCCGAGCTGCTGGGACTACAGGCGCCTGCTACAATACCTGGCTATTTTTTGTTGTTGTTGCAGTTTGGCCAGGGCCGGGCTTGAACCCACCACCCTTGGTATACGGGGCCAGCGCCCTACTCACTGAGCCACAGGCACCGCCCAGCATCGTTTTTTTTTGTTTTTTTTTTTGCAGTTTTTGGCCGGGGTTTTGGCCCTACTGTGGCCCTACTCCTTTGAGCCACAGGCGCTGCCCCTGTTTTTTGTTTTCTTTTTTTTAAGAAAAGACAAATGTGAAAAGCATCTTGACATTGTTCCTTTCATAAAATACACCATATACCAAAGGCCAGATTCCCTCAAAGACAGAAACGAAATTCCCCTTTCTTTTAGTAGGTAGGTGGTGGTGGAAAGGGAGGTAAATCTAATCTCTGGGGAGATAAAGTTTTGGACACATTAATGCCAGTATTGCAAATAAGTTCTTTATCATTCTTATCTCCCCTAATTCTTTTTTCATTTGTTTTTCATTTAGGAGACCAGTAGGGTATTAGTAGAAACTCTGTCCAAGGGCAGCACCTGTCTCAGTGAGTGGGGCGTAGGCCCCATATACCGAGGGTGGCAGGTTCAAACCCAGCCCTTGCAACAAAAAATAGCTGAGCGTTGTGGTGGGCGCCTGTGGTCCCAGCTACTCAGGAGGCTGAGGAGGACAATTGCCTAAGCTCAAGAGCTGGAGGTTGGAGATTGCTGTGAGCTGTGATGCCACAGCACTCTACTGAGGGTGATAAAGTGAGACTCTGTCTCTAAAAAAAAAAAAAAAAAAACTGTCCCAAACCACAAACTACATATCTTCTAGGCAATGCAAAGGAGTTAGCAGTCTCAGTTTTAGTGTGTGCCCCACCCTTGTAATTACCCTGTCAAATAAAAAGATGCAGCTCCACGCTGATGTGGCTCCAAGGCAGAGTTTGAAGCTGCCCATTTTTGTGCTTTTATAGGACCCCAAAGCCTAGGGCTCTCAGCTATATGTGAACTACTGAAAGTCTGTTACTTTTAGCTTTCTGCAGGTGGCCTTGTGCTGACATACATGCCTTCAAAGCCAAATAATTATGATGAATAAAGGCAACTGCAGGCAACTTCTTATCTTACAATAGAAAATCCAAGGACATTTTTCCTGTTAATCTTTAATCAAAAAATAAAGGCTCACTATTGTGAAATAGAGGTCTCACTACTCCAAGTAAGCTTTAAGCAAATATTCAGAAACAAACATTCTGTTGGCATATTTCAGAAAGGCTCTGGCTAGATAACCAATTTTTAATTTATTGAATTTACTGACCAAACAATCTTTAATTTATACTTGATTTGAAACATAAATTTATGGCAATACACTTTGTCTACTCCTAAGCACTTTCCAGGACAGTAATGTGGTAAAAATATTCATAAAGGTTAAGTAACTGTTCCTCTCTAGGGCTTTATTTCCTCATCTGTAAAATGAGCAACTTGGACTAAATGTTGTTGCTGTAAGAGTCTTTTTGCTTTTGAGATTTTATACACACACACACACACACACACACATATATATTTTTTGAGACATTGTCTCACTGTTGCCTAGGCTATAGTGCCATGGTGTCAGCACAGGTTAGGTTGACAGAACCAGATGCTCACCTATCTTTCCTTGTATTAACAGACATGATGTCACCCAGCTGCAAATAACAGAATGCGGCCCTTCCTCTCCTTCCTGTGTTACAATCCAAACCATATTTTATTGTTTCATAATAGCTTTGCAAGTTCAGTTTGGTTCAAATTATGACAAAATTTTAATTCGCAAATTTTGCCCAACCATTATGTGATCTCAAACAGGCTTTTTAGTTCTAGGGAAAAATTCCTTCTATTTAGGGAGGAAAAACAACAGATGTTAAGTTCTGGCATTTTCCAAAGAGAATCTGAGAATAACTTAAGGCTTTTATTGTTATTTTCCCTATAGAGAAGCAACAAAATCATCATTCCTTACCTCAGAGCACCAAGAGCTAAGAATAGAAGCACATGCCTTCCAAGCCAGGATGCTCCTGTGCTAAAGCCTTCAAACATCAGGAGACAGAAACACACACATACAGTTTGTGGCCAGATCTTGCCTGCATTGGCCCTTGGGCTTTTCGTAGTAAGTCAACATTGGAAAAACAAAGCTGAGAAAATTTTACTGAATCAAATTTATACATTTAAATGGGGGTCTTTACTTTTTTTTAATTTTTATTTTTGAGACAGAGTCTCATTCTGTCACCCTGTCGTGTCATAGTTCACAGCAATCTCAAACTCCTGGGCTTAAGTGATCCTCTTGCCTCAGCCTCCCAAATAGCTGGGAGTATAGTCTGCCATAAGGCTAAATGGGGTCTTTATGATACTGGGCACCTTTTCATTGTGCAAGTGGTGGACAGGGACTTTGGGGAGAGTGGCACATTCAGAAAGAATAAAGAAACCAAAGGCTGACCTGGCTCATGCCTATAATCCTAGCACTCTGGGAGGCCAAGGAGGGTGGATTGCTTAAGCTCAAGAGTTTGAGATCAGCCTGACCAAGAGCAAGATCCCATCTCTATTAAAAATAGAAAAACTAGCTGGGTGTTATGGTGGGCGCCTAAAGTCCCAGCTACTTGGAAGGCTGAGGCAAGAGGATAATTTGAGCCCAAGAGACTAAGGTTGCTGTAAGCCATGACAGCACTCTACCCAGGGTGACAGAGTGAGACTCTACCTCAACTTCTGGAAGGTCTGTATGGAGTTACATGCTAATTACCATGTATTAAGGTACCCATAACACCAGAGATCATAAACAGGGAGCCTAAGTTTTTTTGTTACATAGGTTTAAAAAACCACAATATGGTAATACTGTACTAGGTTCTCCTTTTTTTTCAGGGCAACCAATGGCCAGCAGAGCTGCAATTACCTCTTTAGAAAGAACATGCAGGCTCAGCACCTGTGGCTCAAGTGGCTAAGGTGCTAGCCATATACACCTAAGGTGGGGGGTTTGAATCCAGCCCAGGGCCCGCCAAACAATGATGGCTGCAACCAAAAAAAATAGCCAGGTGTTGTGGCGGGCACCTGTGGTCCCAGCTACTTGGGAGGCAGAGGCAGGAGACTAGCTTGAACCCAGGAGTTGGAGGTTGCTGTGAGTTGTGATGCCACAGCACTCTACCCAGGGGGACAGCTTGAGTCTCTGTCTAAAAAAAAAAAAAGAAAGAAAGACGTGCACCATCTGGCCCTGGGGTTGGCTGAATAACTGCCTCCAAAGATATCCATGTTCTAATTCCTGTAACCTGTGATTCCTCCTTTATTTGGCAAAAGGGACTTTGCAGATGTGAATAAGTTAAGATGTTAAGACAGGGAGCTTTTCTTGGGTTATCTGGTGGGCCCTGAATGTATTACAAGTGTCCTTATAAAAGTGAGGCAGAAGGAAGTCTGACCACAGAAGAGAAGGTGGTAATGTGATGACTGAAGTGAAGCGGCTACAAGCCAAGGAACATTGATAGTCACCAGAAACTTGAAGAGGCAAGAAGCAGATTCTCCCCTAGAAGCCAGCCTGAAAAGGAACCAGGCCTGATGACACCTTGATTTTAGCCCCATAAGATTCATTTCAAACTTCCAATCTCCAGAACTGTAAAAGAACAAGTCTGTGTTAAGTCACTACATTTGTGGTAATTTATTACAGCACCAATGGCAAACTGATATACTCTTTCTATATGTGAACTTATAATTTGACCCAAGTCTCTTACTTGACAGTTGAGGCTCTAGGAGCATAGAGCCCAGAATTGCCCAAGACACCAACCAGTTCTTGGAAGAACCAAGTCCCCAGACTGGAATCCAACGTTCTTGCCACACAGCACTTACAATTTTACCAAGGGAAAGTTCAGAGGTCTTCCCAGTTATTCCTGGTTCTAGGCAAATAAAAAGGAGACTTAAGAGTAGGGGAACATTCCTGAGCAGTGGTTCCTAAACTTTTTGGGAGGATGAGACCTTGGAAAAGCCAGAGACTCTCCTTCCAGAAAACCAAGCCACAATCTATTTTTGCACACACTCAAGAGACTTCATGACCCTCAGGTTAGAATCCTTGCCCTGCAGAGGAAAAGCATTTAAGGAGAAATAGAGGCAAAATCAAATCTTTAAGTTGACAAATCAGTCTTGCCCACAGTTCTACAGAAAGTTGGAGAAACAGAACTGAGAACAGAAATTGCATGGAAGAAGGAAAAAAGTAGGAGGCGGCGCATTTAAGAAAAGTTTAGGGCAGAAAGTGCTCTCCAACAACGAGGAATCGATGCTTTTCATCTTTCCTTCGCCTCAGGGGATCCTTCTTACTTGAACCTAATATTAAATGTGCTGATTTGAAAACTCGTTAAATTTACTCCTCAGCTTTTGAAGTTGCTGAATCCTGATCTGTGAATGCCAACCAAAGTGCTAAACCTTTAGATAGGTCTAATTCTACTCTTGACTTTTTGTTTGGATCAGACTGGTATTTTATAGGCCGCCCAAAAAACACAACTTGAAAACAAATCCAACACGTGATTACAGACACTGGCTACTTCCCCTCAACACTGACAATTCATCAGAGGTGGAATTGTGGGAGTCTGAAAAATACCCAAGAAAGAAATAACTTTAAAGTGAACAAAGCGTTTGCCCTGCAACTTGGGAGAGGGTCTAGATAAAGGAAAAGCCTGAGGGAGACGCCCAAGGACCGAGAGGGGGGAGGCAGAACTTAGAACCCCGGATGGGCGAGGTGGGGGAGGGGGAGACCCTGCGGGACCCCAAGGCGCGACTGCCCGCCGGGACAGAACCGGCGCCCCTCACCTCGTCCGGATAGAGTTCGCGTGGCAGCACCGCCTGCAGGTCCAAGAACACAGTGATGGGAATATGGGTGAGGAAGTAGACGCCCATCAGCAACTCCACGCATCGCCTGGCACCCGGAGCCCCCATCCTTAGTAGATTGGGCCTGGACCCGCCGGTGTGGGAAGAAACCCGGTTCTGCTCGCAGTCCTGGGGCCCCGCGCCTCTGCCGCCGCCCCGCCCCCGTGAGGTTACGTGGACCTCTTCTATTGGCTGGAAAGAGGCAGGGCGTGTGGGCAGGGGGCGGGACTCCCTGTGGGGTGTGCCCATTGGCTCGTCTGAGTGTAGCGCGTGGAGAAGGCTCCGCACAAACTATTTCCATTGGCCCTCGGTCGCGCAGCATGAGATGCCGGCTCAGCCACGTCGGGCAGGGGGCTCAGCCACGTCAGCCCGGGCTCGGGCGCGGCTTGCGGATCCCGGATGCCGGAAGGCGCGAGCCAGCTGGGCATGTGCGCGGGCCGCGTGGTACACTGAGCCGGGGCGGCTGCTGACGGTGATCGCATTCGCCTATGACTCCCTTTTCTCACGTCATTTGTGTAGAAAGCACCAGCGCGTGCTAGTGCTGGGCCGTGGAGCTTCCGACGCATAGGGGGAGTCGCAGAGCAGGGCCGGCCTACGAGGCCTGTGATGCGTGAGATCCCGGCCAGGTTGAGGTAGCCAGCCTCAATTTAAGAAGTAGAGGGTACGGACTGGAGCGATGTAGTAGGAGGTAAAGTGACAGGACTTGATGATTGGCGTGGAGAATGAGGGGGGAATCAAGATTCATTTACTCATTCAATAAATACTTATTTTCTTCTTTCTTTTATTATTATTTTTTTTTTGAGATAGAGCCTCAAGCTGTCGCCCTCGGTAGGGTGTCGTGGCATCACAGCTCACAGCAACCTCCAACTCCTGGGCTTAAGCGATTCTCTTGCCTCAGCTTTCCAAGTAGCTGGGACTACAGGAGCCCGCCACAGCACCCAGCTACTTTTTTTGTTGTAGTTGTCATTGTTGTTTGGCAGGCCCAGGGTGGATTCGAACCGGCCAGCTGTGGTGTAAGTGCTTGGCGCCCTAGCTGCTTGAGCTACAGGCACTGAGCCGATACTTATCTTTAACTCTGTAGTGGGGCCAGGTCTGGCCTGAGGCAGAATAGCTAGGGTTGTCATTTGCTGAGAAGAGGGGAAGTGAGTACACAAGAAAGTAATTTGGGCTTGGCGCCTATAGCTCAACCGGCTAAGGCGCCAGCCACGTACACCTAAGGTGGCGGGTTCGAATCCCCAGCCCGGACCCGCCAAACAACAATGACCGCTGCAACCAAAAAACAGCTGGGCGTTGTGGCGGGCGCCTGTGGTCCCAGCTACTTGGGAGGCAGAGGCAGGAGACTCGCTTGAGCCCAGGAGTTGGAGGTTGCTGTGAGCTGTGATGCCACAGCACTCTACCCAGGGGGATAGCTTGAGGCTCTGTCTCAAAAAAAAAAGAAAGTAATTTGGTTTTGACTATGCTGATACTGAGTAGTCTGCAGCATCAGAGTGGCAGCAGCTAGTAAGCTGTTGAGTGAACCTGTCTGGCCATGTAGATTTGTGAGGCATTAGTGTTTGATGGAGTGCAGAAGGTCGGGACAAGATCCTAGAGCTCCAGCCTCAGGGCTCATGGGAAGAGGGAGCTGAGGTAGCGATATCCTGGGGAAGGAGGGTCAGGCGTGTCAGGTGCTCACCAGTGCCCCTGTAGATAACAAGTGTAGTGTGGTGGGGGCAGGAGCCAGGTAAGAGCTGGGCATAGAGTGGGGAAATGGAGGCGGGGAGTGTAGACATCTCGTCATGAATGGAGGAGATTAGGGGCAGTTGTTAAAGGAAGAGGTATTTAAGACAGGGTGTATTTGTCTTTCCAGTGAGAGACTTGAGCTTGTTTAGCTTCTGTTTGAAGTGTCTGGACGGGGGAAGAGGTCCATGTAGGGAGACTACAGCAGGAAGTGTGGATGAGTTAGAAGGATTGGGGTTACGTCGGAGGTGGTCTGCTCCTGCAGATGGGCACGGTGGGATGGGGACAGAGAGGTTGCCAGCAGTGTTGAGGACCATTTAAAGTGGATTGCCATTGATCTGGAGGCCCTGGCCTCCAAGGCTTGGTGCTTTTCTCTCTTGTGGAGTCTGCTCAGAAAAAGGCTGTGGGCAGTCATCCAGAGTTGGGACTCAAAAGACAAAGGTGAATTTGAGGTGCTGATCAAGGGAGTGGACAAAGTGAGGTAGCCTGCAATTCATGCTCAGTAGGCAGAGATGTGAGGCAGGAGGGGGCTGGGAGACTGGGAGAAAGTGGAGGAATGAGTGGATGAGAGGCCCTGGGAGGAGGATGTGCTTATACAATGTCAGTCACTGGATCAATGGCAGAGACAGTGGGAGATCATGACAAGGCAGTACAATGTCTGAGTTTCTGGGGTCAAGAAGAGGGTCTGCCCATAGGAGGGTGTGGCTGAAATGGAGCAGAGGGGAAGGTCTTTGGAGATCAAGGGACAGAGAGTCTGAAGACCACCTAGGATGGTGGCCATCAGGTGGTGAGGTGGCTATGTATAAGGGTAGTTACTAGGAGGAAGGTGGGCATGGACTGGGGGGGGGAGGGGAAACTATGGACATGGCCTTGGGAAGCAGGGAGGCTGCTGACCCTCACCCTAACCCTGATGAATGTGGGAAAGTGAACAGCCTGTGGGGAGAGGACTGTGGGGAAGCTGAGTTCTGGGAGAACCAGGTACCAGTTACTGTGGGAGGTAACAGCTAAGGGTGGGGAGGGGTTTCCCCGGGGAGAAGGGGATGACCATCAGAGCAGGGTAGAAGGAGACATAGCAGGAGAGGGATGTGCAGGTTCCTTCTGGGGTGAGGAGCAAGGGATGAACGGCATAAGTGGCCGAGCATTTTGACAACACAAAATTCTAACATTCTCTGGGCTTCCTGGTTAGGCCTTGCCCAGAATCCCAGCGCTGCAGCCAGAGTGAGGGAGGGATGTTCAGTGCTGTTTTTCCTGCTTCAAGTGCTCCAAGGGGAGAACTGTGCTCAGGGAAGAGAACTGTGTCTCCTCTATGAGGGGCCCAGGCGGGGAGGACTCAGAAGTAGCTGGTGCTTTTTTGCAGAAACAACAAAAGGCCTATGCCTAGGGTCACCTAAGGAAAGAGGTTTTTTTTCTTTCTTTTTTTTTTTTTTCCTGAGACATAGTATCACTTGGTCACCCTCAGTAGAGTGCCTGTCATCATAGCTTACAGCAACCTCAAACTCCTGGGCTCAAGCAATCCTCTTGCCTTAGTCTCCTAAGTAGCGGGGACTATAGGTGCTCAACACAATGCTTGGTTATTTTTAGAGACAGGGTCTCACTCTTCAGGATGGTCTCCAACTCATGAGCTCAAGCAGTGCACCCACCTCTGCATCCCTGAGTGCTAGGATTACAGGTGTGAGCCACCCCGCCCAGCCTTTTTTCCACACAAAGTAAAGCTTTAAAGGCAGGTTGCTTCCTCTCAAACTCTATTCCAGCCTCCAGGTCTATGTTCATTAGTCCCCTTCATCCATGGTTTCACCTGCCATGCTTTTGGTTACCTATGGTTCAAAAATATTTAATGGAAAATTCCAGAAATAAACAGTCATAAGTTTTAAATTGTGTGCCATCCTGCCATCCTCCCCAGGATGTGAATTGTCTTTTTGTCCAGTGTATTCACACTGTCTCCACTCCACACCCCTGAATCACTTAGTAGCCATCTCAGTTATCAGACGGACCATTAAGATGTCAGTGCTTTTTTCACTTAATAATGATCCTAAAGCACAAGAGTAGTGATATGGCAATTCAGATATGCCAGAAAGAAGCTTCTTTTAAGTGAAAAGGGGAAAGTTCTCAACTTAGCAAAGAAAGAAAAAATGCTGAGGTTGCTAAGGCCTTCAATACAAGATACTTTGAGACTTTATTCATGATAGTAACAGTATATTGTTACAATTGTTCTATTTTATTTTACTTTATTTTATTTATTTATTTATTTATTTTGAGACAGAGCCTCAAGCTGTCCCCCTGGGCAGAGTGCCGTGGCATTACAGCTCACAGCAACCTCCAACTCCTGGGCTCAAGCGAGTCTCCTGCCTCCCAAGTAGCTGGGACCACAGGCGCCCGCCACAATGCCCGGCTATTTTTTGGTTGCAGCCATCATTGTTGTTTTGGCGGGTCCGGGCTGGGGATTCGAACCCGCCACCTTAGGTGTACGTGGCTGGTGCCTTAGCCGGTTGAGCTATAGGTGCCGAGCCTCTATTTTATTTTTGTTAACCTCTTGCTATGCCTAATTTAGAAATTAAGCCTTATCATAGATATTTATGTATGTACAGGAAAAAACAGTGTATATATAGGGTTCAGTACTACCACGGCTTCAGGCATCCCCAGGGCATCTCAGAATGTATTCTTCATAGATACGGGAGGAATGCTGTACATAGCTCTCCTCTATTCCCCATCTCCAAACCATTCACCTGAAAGAGAATATAAAGGGCCAGGAAGGCCCTTGTGAATAATCTAGGGCCCAACACTTCATGAAGAAATTGAGGTACATACAGGTATGTATTTGTCCCAGGCCGTAGAGTGAGTGACATGACAGGGACTGGAACCCTAGCTCCCAGCACCTGGCTCTTACAGGGGTCTGAATGGTATTTAATTCAGGTGCTTTATCCCTAGGGCTTCCCCCACAAGGCCTCTAGGCCCCTTCAGACTAGCCCAGGGCCAGGAGAGGCCTGGCCAGTCTGGACCACACTGTATACAGTTGTACTGTGGGGAGGACCTGGCAACCGTGTGCTCCCACCATCCAACACTCAGAACGGCTTTGCAGCCATGGGGTACCTTTTACTTCATAGGGGGTACAGCTCCTTGGAGAACTCTGTTGGTTATAACTACTTGCTAGGGGGAGGCAGTGGGGGCTGGGGTTTGTCCAGGGAACATGGTAAGTACACAGCTGTCAGTGAGACTGCTCCTCAAAAACACCTTGCCCAGCCAAGTTTGTTGCCTGTAGATACAGATTTTCAAAGCCAAGCACTTTCAGCAAGTTCTCTCCCTCCAAAAAACTGTCTAGCTGCTATCTTAAATTTTGATTTAAGTTTGAAATTCCTTTAGTAGCAGACCACAGCTCTTAATTTGATGAGTTCAGATACAAATGGCCTGGGAAAG